GAAATTATACTGAAATCAACTGCAAGATTCAAACAATAAATAAAATGAAAATATAGGATCTGAAAAAAACTCTAGGTTTGAACAAAAGCCCCTTTCCTTTCTCTTACTCCCCTCCCAGGAATTCCAACTGATGAGATTAATTACCTGTGCAAATGGCAGCATCAGTTAAAAAGGTTCAACCAGTATTTAACACAACAGTAACACTACCATCATTCTGTCTTTCACAGGAGGTGCTGCTGTCATTTTAAATAAAGCTTTTTTTTTTGTCTTACAGGGTTTTTTTGGGCTGTAATTTTGTTTACTAAATCATTTCAGAAAGAGGTACAGTGACCTTAGGAAGTACTGTACCTTTATATAGGCATTTTCTTCCTCCACTTCCCCCCGGCTGATACAAGCAGAGAGATTTTGTTTCCTGTGCACAATTATACCTATCTCTTCCACTCATGGAAGTAAGAAAAAGTCAGCTTTCAATGAAAGGGGGATTTAAAAGCCATCAAAATCCTCAAGTGGAAGTTGCTGAGTAACCGCATGACGCTTCTTAATCATCGAGGCTGATAACTAAATATTTAGGAACTATGGCATTAAGAAACTTGGCTGGGTCAGATGACTGTTCAGCTCCTTAGTCACACAGCTAGGGATGTTTACAAGGCAGTGGTTACAGTGTGCCTCAGAAATAGTAAACAGCAGCACACCCATGCTCACTGTGTTTTCTTGTTTTAAGTGCTTGCTTACAAACACAAATGACATTTCTATTCTATTCAAGTTCTTATATCACACTCAGCACTGCAGTAACTGAGGGTCTTCCCATAACACAGCAACTGATCGGGTCATTTCTTCCTTCAGACAGGGAAGCACATCTGGTTTAATGCCAGTTTTCTGCTCTTACAAATACTGGCTTTAATATTAAGAACTTTTCATTGACACTTTCAGCACAGCGTATGCCCTCTGCAAACCTGTTACATACCTGCTCAGAAAGCCCAATGCAAATTCTAAAGGCCTATCTATAAATAATTTGGTTGTAGCTATATGCAATTATTACAGACGAGCTATGCTGCAGCTCACCCCTCCCCTCCAAAATCACAATAGCTGCCAACAAAGTTCACAATACTACATAACAACATCTTCCAGAAAAAAGCATTCAATGTGAATGTGACATGCAAATATTAAGACAGGACACGAGACTTCTTTTCTTTCCCCTTCCCACTGGGTGTTTTATTTTATAGCATTTGCATTAGGTAATCAACTGAAACACTTCAACAACAGAAAGCTGGCAGCATAGTGAGGAAAAATGGAGATTCTTTCTCAAACAGCTGTGTAATATGGTTTCAAGTTGGAATATTATTGCACAAACGAATAGACTTACGGAGGGTGAGTGGGAGCAAGCATCTTCAACATGGATTGTGAGGAAAAAAGGCACTATTTAGCTGTGTGTGTGTTTAAAAAGAAAAAAATCATGAAGCACAATCCATGTTTTTCAAAATTACATTCAGTACTGCTTTAGAAATGCTCACAAACCTGTCTCTTTTACAGAAGCTATGGAAAGCTGCTGATGTAAATATCAGACAGTACAAATGTATGAACATTTATAATTATGTTCCAGAAAAGTCTCAGGAAGAGGGCTCTTTCTATAAATACTGCTGCAAAGGTTACACAGTTGCATAGGCTTACAGTAAAGGAAGCATCCATCCAACTAAGCAGCCTTACACTTTCCTTAAGTTTCACCTCTAGTAGTCATAAAATATGCTCTAATTTTGAAGAGCTAAATTGGCAGTGCACTCGAATCAGGCTTTTTGCACTGACTGCGTAAGCAGCACAGTTCAGACAGCATCATCCATACACCTTCTTGTCACATACACGTTTAGCAACGTCAGGTAAGCTTAATGGAAAATTTTAACAGAGGTATAACCGAAAAAACCTGAATTTTCCCCGATATAAAATAGAACTGCTCTGAGACCATAAATAAGCAAAAGTTTATTCCTGTAGTGTTAAAATAGCTAGGTATCTTCAGAAAAACTAAATACCCAGAAAAGGCATTTCAAATGACCGGGATGGGCTGCTTCTTCCTCTCCTGTATTGTCTAACTATAAATTTTCATGCCTGTTTGAAAATGAAGCCATGATCAGCATGCCAATAATAGAGAGACTGCTTGAAAATCCACCCAGAGCAAGCAGAATGTGCACAGAGGACATTCTGCACCCCAGCCTCGTGTCTGCTTACAGATGCAGTAAGAAAACAAGAGTGAAATTCTCGTTGCATGGCTGCAGAATTATTATGGGAAGGAGCTAAAAACACTGTTGCTCTCCTGTCAGCACAGGCCAGTGTATCACAAGTGCCCCAGGAATGCTGTGGGTATGGCTATGTAGTCACCAGCACAGCTGGACCTTGCACCATTGTGCTGACATCAAGAGTTTCAACAGGGCCACAGTTTTGCACAAAATCTGGGGCAGTAACTTTGTACAGAAAGTACAGAACAGTGTAACAAAATCTACTCTCAACTATATATGTGTGTATATATATATATATGAGCATTTCATCACCTTTCAAACAAACTTAGCCCTGCAAAAAGCCAATCTCACTCCTCTGCAGAGAGTACAGTGCCTTCAGTTAAAAGATCCATGTTCAGGAGGCTGCATAGTAGTTTACTGATCATATAACCTGCAAAACCAAAAAAACCCCATGTATTGCTGCTTTCCACTATAAGTCTTTAAGGGAAAATACATGAGATAAATTATATTTATATACCATAAAATATTTTTAATGGCAACAACTTGGATTGTTTCTGTTTCCAAATAGAAGATGAATAGAGCAGATTATTAAAAATCTGCAGAGTTTAGGAAATCCAAGTTTGATAGTTCTGAATTCAAAGGATTCTAAAAAGTTCGCAGTTGACTTTAATGGTTGCACTAGATATAAAAGTGGACAGTCTTAGTTCCTGCTGTGTTCTACAGATGATCACGTTTTCAGATTACATCTGGAACGAACACCTCGCCAACTGTTGCTAGCATGTTTAAAAATATTCCTAAAAATTCTTGTTCACAGCAAAGAACAGGAAGTGATATCTGATTAAATAAAACATGGTTTCTTTTATGAACTATGAAAAATATATTGCTCTTTTAAAAGTAAAAAAACCCTTGCATTGTTCTATTATTTTTGCTATTGAAGGCTCATAATTAAGAAATTCTAAATTCTGGAAGGAAAAAAAAGAAACACAACTTTTAAAATTGCTTACAGAATAAAGGAGGCTTCAGTAGACTCTACTGAAATCAGTAGAAGTTTTATCTACTGTTTTGTTGTCAATACAGAAGCATTTGTCTACATACCTATTTCATTACTTAGATGAATATTTTATATTTTCACTTAATAAACTCTTCTGCTCTCTTAGAGGTGCTCTTCTGAAAATTCTGAAGGAGACTCAAGAAGGTAAACTGATCTGAATTATTCTGAAGGAAAACAACACAGTCAAAATAAAATCTAACATAAAACTATCACTGAGTGGAAATCTTTCCTGGGATTATAAATATTCCTTTTATTTCAAAAAAGTTACTGTTTTTAAATGAAAATTTTAGATCTCCATTGACTACTGCTTGTGTATGACTCCTCAGTTCCTTTCTTTACCTAGGAAACATCTTCATGTGTGACCTGATACACCCTATATCCAAACATGTTGGCATTATTATTGACGTCAATAGACAAGACCTGGAACGGAAGTCTTATGCATGGCTCATGCTATATAAATGGGAAGCTATCACAAGGAACTTCCCTGATTATTTGGGAATAACAAAGAGAGATCTATTTTTAAAATTAAAAGGGAAAAATCTAAGAAAACAAAGAAACTGCAAGATGTACTTGAGAGTCTCTTGTTATCCTCTCTGTAATTGGGCTGTTGCTTTTGGCTGCAGACATCCAGTTCACAGACCATTTTCCATTTCCTTTGTTTTCATTGCAAGAACAAGCTGGTTAAAGAAACACCACTTGAAAATTTTACACTAAGCCTTCAGCATCATCCCTTAGGAATTTAAGCCTTTACCACTATTCCTTATTTTGTCTCCTCAGTGCCTTCCCCCATCAAACCTTGTGAAAAGCACTTTTAAGAAAAGGCAAGTGTAAGATGTGTAAATACTCAGATCTTTCAAGAAAATTCAACAGGAAACAAATTCTTGCAGTTCTCCACTGCCATTTGCTATAATGCAGTGGCCCCAAACATCTGTTCTCAAATTTCAATTTACTTCATCTACCAGGTGTTTCACACTGTTAATAATGGCAACTCACAAATTTACAATAGTCACGTAAGGCAGTTACATAAATACAATTATGTCAATCAAGTTCACTGCATCTTTCTCAACCAGACTACACATAACATTTTTCTTCTTGTCCTCTTACCATAATAAAAGAATGAAGATTACGTTTCTGTAAAGAGAATCCCTGGACAACATTCTGGTATTGAAGTCAGAGAGGTCATTGAAGTGCATTTTAGCAATGTTCAACAGGTAACTCTGTTGAACTCTGTAACAGCAAGTAGATGTGATGTTTTTCACTTCACACATAACAGAACTGGTGCAAAAAACCCACTTTAAACTAGTTACTTTAAACCTTTTGGTCCAAATACATAAAATAAGCAGTATTTACAGCATTTTACTCCTTTTGTAAATGCAATGCTTTAAAACACGTTATAAAGCACCTCAGTAAAAATATTCTACAGATAAAAGTATCGAAGTAGTAGGAAAACCCTAACCATACCACAGCTCACTAATGGAGTCATAATATGGATTCACCAATACCTCAGTTTACAATTATTACAAAGAATCCATGGAGAAACTTACTGAATTTATGATTTTTATAGCACTGTGTAAGAATCAACTAGAACTGCAGACATTTCTTTGTAGTCTTCTCAACCTCAATCGGAGGTGGTGGGGATTAAAAAACCCCCAAAACAAAACCCCCACAGCTTTGATTCTTTAACTTTTTACAATATTATAATGGAAATGACGTTTTAACACTAATGAGTAGTTGTAATTTTTTAATAAAACCACATATATAAATATGGGCAATTCCAGCAGCCACAGCATTTCTCCGCAGAACATAATTAACCATCCCAATTACTATCATGTGACGTGATTCACAAAAACAAAGCACAGATGTCAACCAGTTATTAAGACTACTCATATTGTATACAACCAAAATTTCCATGTTGAAAGCTGGGGAAAATGATTTCCTCTTCACAGAAGTATAAATGAAAATAAATTGCTCTGAAAATTAAAAAGAACATCAACAGAAGCATTTTTTGTTTGTTTATATTTTCAAATAGAACTGCTGTGTATTAATTGCTCCGAATTACAGTGTAGATTTCTTCAGGTTAAAGATATTGACTCCAACTGAAAATATTAGTTAGGTAAAAGAAACGAAGCCTTTGTTTCTGGATTACCAACACAGCCATATCCAAAGCCCTGGATGTGATCCACAGCTCACTTTTCTCATATAAAGAATTGTCTTGGAGGTCTACAAGCAATCTAGTTTCCATGGCTGAGGACTAAGATGATGATGTGACCAAAGATTTAGGTCCATAAATCTAACAGTATGGAGTTCTTAGTTTGATTTAGGGTAAATCTTTTCATAGAAAAAGTTTTGAGCCAGAATATACAATTCTCCATCTTTTTCCCGAACTGCATGTGCTCTGACAAACTGAAATTGCTCCAGTGCAAATTCATAGAACTCATTCTCCATTTTCCAGATTTCAGACTGTTGTAGCTTGGCAATAGTTTCTTTTGTGGGAAGTTTTTTCTCAGTTGTTTTCCTAAGATGAGACTTCTTTCCTAAATGCAAAATGAAAGCAATAACTTCACTTTAAAGTTCACGTGCTTAAAAAATGTTTACAGTCCTTTTATTTACAGAGTTTTATACTCTCAATGTGTTGATAAACTGCATTAGAAGTGACAGGTTTTAATCCAGAATTTATGAATATAACATGTGGGGTTGGAAAATTGTAGTCTCTCTCACTAAATGTTAATGAATTTTGCATCCGTTCCTTCAATTCTTCCTCCTCACTCTAATAAACCCAGGGAATGAACATTCATTTAAGGAATAAGATTACTCCACATAATGTACTTGGAGCAAGATTGGTCTTTCAAAATTAATTATTTAGATGTTAATCTGGTATCAGATGCTAAGAATTTTAGAAACTGCAGAACAGAACTCCTTTCATAGAGTCATAGAAACACTTAGGTGGAAAAGACGTTTAAGGTCATTGAGTCCAACCACAAAGCTAACACTGTCAGGCCCCACTAAACCATGTCCCTGAGCATCAGATCTACACATCTTTTAAACTGCCACTTCTACACATTTTTTAAATACCTCCAGGGATGGCTACGTTCAATTCAGACGACCAAAAAACCCCTGTTCTATAACAACCATTGCACTAATGTAAGCCCTCTTTAGCTCTCCACCAAGGAGAAAAAAAATCCTGTTTTCATGTGATTTCAGTTGTCTATTTCTAACCAAAATATGAACTCTACTAATGGCATCTAAAACATTATTTATTTATTATCTAACCCATCTAAATAGGATACTACAGTCTTACCATCGATAGATAAGTCACATTTTTATTAACAGAATTCCTGTGACAAAGATGACCAAAATGATGACCAGATTTCCCCTAAGAAGTGCTGTTGCTTTGCAATAAACTTGTTAAACCTACACATCGAGGTTCTATATGCCAAACTCTTTTCTCCTTCTATTTGTAGATAGAAGCCCTGCTAAGATGGAGCTTTTCTTCATCCTAAGTTGCATGGCCAGCTCCTAGAAACTAAGGTATTAGCTATGTTACAAATGTCTTATTGCAACCCCAGGAAGATCAACATCTCTGCATCCCACGGGCCTTACTGCACAGCCAACCAGGCTGCACTGAACTCACTTAATGTCAGCAGGGCTTCTGAGGAAATGGCAATCTGCCACTTTACAAAACTGAAGCCCCTGCAAGACCTTAAAATCATGTTCTGATAAACATCTGGCACAATTGTTTTACGCACAGAATACCTACACAACTGCCTTTACTCCAAGCTTAAATATCAACAGTTTGTGTAAGGCAAAAGATACTTGGGCTACCTTTGAAAATTCGTACTAAGAATCTTTTAAAGGGAGTTTGTTTCTTCTGTAGGAGCATCAGCTAGCTGAGAGGCAAACCTGACAGAGACTCAACACTGTTCATCTAGGTCTAAAGAATTCACATAAAAAAAGGCGATAAGAGGATGAAAAATCCGTGGAATCCATGGAAATCAACTATTGAAATACCTGTCCGGTACAGTTCCGTGGCACCCCTGAAGAACCGGGGCAAAGCTGCCTCCAATAACATGATAAAGTCTTCAAGCTCTTCAGTAACTCCCACTAGGAAGTATTCATTAATTAGATTGTATTTGGCTTGTTCCAAAGCCCATCTGCTTCCCACATTCCTAAAATGACAGAGAACAATTACAGCAAGTTCTGATGTCAGCCAACAATCCCTGGTCCCTAGATGGAGATTACTTCACAACAGGACATTTGTATAAGAAAGGCAAGACTCATTCCAAGTTATAACCATTCCTAACTTCATTTCCCTTTACAGTTTCTCTCAACTGCGTTCTGATGTAAAATTATGACTCCTCTATTTATAGAAGAGTCTCCACGAAAATACCCAACATGTGTATATGGTTACAGTCTCTATTAATGCCATTTTTAAAGAATTTACATTTTCTTAATGTTAATACTCAGTCTCCACTATCACATTAGACATCAGAAACCTGGTAAGAACACACCTTCCCTTTTGCATCTTCTTTCTTTCCCTTCTTCTCCATCTTGCCACAGTGCAGATAGGTGAAAAAGGAGCATCCAAGTGGAAATTTACCTTGCTTACATTTGAATGAACATTATCTTAGAGAAGTAATTGCTCTTGATATCACTAAGAGTATCTGTATGGTTTTTGGTTTTGGTTTTTGTTTCATTTGGGTTTTTTTGCTAGAGTTCTTTTAAGTCTGTTCCATTGTTATAAAACATGCTGCACTGACAGATGGACACAATTTGCTTTTGTTTCAGTTCCTACTAAGCAGCATCGACTACTGGATGTCTGGGTAAAGATTTAAGAAGATAAATTTATCCTGATATCAACTATTTTATTCTCCCCAGAAACTCTAGAAGCTTGAACTAAAACATCTCCATTCAAAAAGAAGGATATTGTAGTCTGACATATGAGAAAAACGTCAAGACTCTAAATCTTCAAAAATAATTTTTAAAATTGAAAGCATATGTTTTCCCTCAGAGCACTGCTGATACAGTATTCTAACATACTGCTTGTTTAAAGAACTGCAAAAGTGTTTCAGTAAATGCATCTTCAAAAAAAAAACAACCTTACAAAAGTACCTGCTGCTTCTCTCTGTCCAGTCCCTCACACTTTCCCCAACTGTGCTACATACTCAAATTTGCTAAAGTTTAGATTTCAGCACATTTATCTCCCTACCAGCATTCGGAGCTGTGGCCACAGAAGAACGGAATTTGAAGCCAAAGTTTCTCTGGAGCACAGTCGGAACCTCCAGCTGCCACACATTCATCAAAGGTCTGGAACAAAGACAAAACTGAGCTAAGCTTTATAATCTCACATATATCTCAAACATCTCACACTGGTTGCTTGCTAAATGTAGTAGGGACAGAAAAACACAAGCTATGACATGAAAGAAAAAACCCAACTTTTTCAAGCCTCGCTTTCACGGTGTTATTTGGGTGACCTATTTGCATCAATTAAAATAGTACTTGGACAGTCTTTTATAGTTAGAACTAATGACCACTTGATCTTACCTGATACCTTTGATACAAACTCAGCAAAAGCTATTTGTCAAAACTAGAAAAACCAATCAATAAGTGTTGGCATAATTGTTTTCCCTTATAAAGCACCAAATCCCATCAGGAATTGTGTGATACTGGAACTGCTGGATCTTTATAACACAGAACACTCTACATAACAATGTTCTATTATATTTTAAATATTATGACAGATAACTGCCATCTCAGAGGTTAATTTGGTTTTGGCAATCAGAAGAACAGAAAGCAAGTTGTTCAGTGTGTAACAGAATATTCCACACAATATTGCTCCCTGTATGGATACACAGCTCTGGCAACAAAGAGTTTGAGCTACAGTAACACAGTCACAGTAAGAACTCCATTAGCACTGGAAAGAATTGTCACCATAAAGTTTTTATGATATTTTTAATCAAGATATAAGGCCTGTATCTAGGAGAGATTGAAAAAATACTTAATAATAAGAGATCACATCGACAACTTTTCAGATTGTTTCTTCTGTACAATTCTGTTCAAAATAATTATGTACAAACATGTTTGCTCAATTAGTTGGGGTTAAGAACAAGGACAACATCATTTGCTTCTATTTTGAGGTGAAGTTTCTGGGCTAATCTGAAAAATTTACAGATACTATGTCAAAGCAGGGAATAAACTGATGCCTTGGTTCACGTCGCACTTGGAGTTTAGAACAGCTTGTACATGTCACACATCACAGATAAAAATGCAGCTTAACTAGGAAAACCAGACATTGGTATGCTTTCCCCAGCACAGTTCTCTAGAGAAATTCTGCACTGACCCATCAATCATGAGTACTGGGTAACTCCAACATTACCTTAGAACTAAATTGCTTAAATGCATCTCTAAACTTATGAATGTATATACTAAAAATGAGCTGCCACCTGTCTGAAGAAAGAATTCTTTGCTTATACCTGCAGATTATTTCACAGTTACTAAGCAAAAGCAAGCAATTTCATAAGATTAAACAGGACAGGTCTCTTTCCACACTTCCTCTTATATACCTACCTTGAATGCTCTATCCAGAGATTTTATTATAAGAAACACTTGTCTTTACAGACTCTGCACTTGGAGCCAAGCTATCCATAACTGGAAGCACAGGGATATAGGAAAAAAGCAAATGAAGAATTCTTCCATATAACTGCTGTGGTATGGACTAGGAAGAGGGTGTAAAGTACATTGAGATTCCTTTCCAATAATAAAGGAACACTTAACTTCCACTAGAAGTAATTTTTGACCTTCCCTACTTTTTATTTGAAGAGGTCTTAGTGAATCTACTCTAACACATATTAGGACAGATATCAGCATTACAGATACTGTGATAGGCTCAATCCAGTTTTGAGCTTACTGAACTTTTTATCTAATATACATAAAACTGACACCATCTATACATGTACAGCTCTCTAGGGCCAACAAGAAAAAATAGTATTACCTGGTTTAATTGAAAGAAAGCCTAAAGCTTGATATAGTGAATCAATTTCACTTCCAGAGAACTTGACATGCTTATAGACATGTTAAATCTATATAACAACTAAGTCTCAGACCTAAATAATGTGGTATCATAGTGACAAAACAAAAAAAGGATAAAATTATGAATGCAATGCATTACAAATATTATAAACAGGAGTGCATTTCAACTTTTTCCAGCAAATCAGAGCTTACAGTGCAGTCCACCAAGCAGCAGCATTTGGGATTTTGGGGTTCACCTTTCCCAGTGACTGTCTAAGAAGGCTGTGTGGATTATAATTAAAAACTAAAACAACACTTAAATTTCACTCCTTTTATAAGTTTTAAGTCCTATAAACAGCCTGGACTTGGTAGCATGCTCAGCTTTCCAACTGATTGATCGACACTAGGAAAGAATTCCACTGGCCCAAATATGCTCCTCAGGAAAAGGAAGAGAGTATGTTATAAAAGATGAGATTCTATCTTTTTAAAAATGCCTTTATGATGTCATATCATCAGATAATCTCTTTAGCCAGTTCTAAGAACACAATTGTTTAAACTTAATTTCAATTTATTCTGCTTGAAGCTTTGCTCTACCGATGCTGTAGGATGTCTGGACAAACTGAAATGCAGTATCTGAAGATGGCGCCAAACCCTAAATAACAGAGGAGTAGTTGGTTACCAACTGGAAAGAAATAAGGAATGGTCTGCTCCCACTATTTAAAAAACAGTGTTTGGATGGGGCCAGCACACAAAATGATTAGCCACATTTATTAGTTGTTGTGGCGCTTATAGGTTAAGCTTTATTTAGCGTGATTTTTGCTTATTTTTTTCAATGTCTCTTGGTATTTGCACAGCACCACACTAAATTGTCAACAGTACAGATAAACTGCATCAGCTTAGGAAAATATCATCGCTGAAATTGTAAAAAGTGTTTGGCCTTGTAAAGTATAAAACATCCCTACATTTTGTAAAGGCTTCCACACTGGTTTATAGTGCGGAAAAAACTATAGTTTTTTTTAAGCTTAAAGAAAACCACTTTAGTTTTATAAACTATACTCACATACTTAATACCCTACTTTTCTTCCTGATTTAAGAAAAATCCAAAGCAACACACCCCAACAAATGTCTGACTGCAAACTATGACAGTGGATGTACAGATTCTTTCTGCAAGACATATCTTATGGAGCCTAAATGATGTTGCCATTCTGAAACTGTATTAGTCATCAAGTTTTCAATGTGCTAACCTGATCCTATACCTACAGCCACTTAAGACAGATCGAGGAAGTACAGAAATGTATGTATCATACTCCATAGTTTTAAAAAAAACTCTTTATACAGTTCCATTGTATAAAAGGTTCACATTTTAAAAAAAATACAATACATTGGTTTGCTAAGTATAAGAAAAAAACCCCAAAGCAAAGGCACCAGCAATTCTACAGGTTTTGCTGAACTTCAACAAGAAGAGATGCAGAGTTCTTACATGGGAGAATAAGCATAACTCGATACTTACAACTCTGGATACCTGAGAACATTTTTTAAATCTATTTTTTTTTTAACAAATTGCAACATAAAGTGAATTTATAAGGGTACAAAGAATGTATTTAAAGGCACACTCTGCTCCAGTATGGACACAAAGTGGAGAATATAACTTACAAAGCCACCATTATCCCCAAGGATGATACAAGAACGATTCAGCTTTTACCAGGACATTTTAAAAACTGTTTTCACATGAACTTTAGTAAGCACAACTGTATAATAAAGTGTACTTTACCTTTTTATCCCCCTGTTTTCGCCTCCGCAGCCCTGGTCTGTAATCATCTCCAAAGCGCAGGAAGTAATAATAAGAAACTAGTCGTTCTATAGGATCTCTTATGACATTTATGTAAATTGGTTTCTTTTTAACACCAAATCTAAAGCAAAAGAGGAAAAAACATCTTTCAAAAGGACAAACCAAAGCTTCTCATCTCATACTTAAAAGCCTGTCTCTATTGATACAACCGAAATCTATACACAGAGTAGATGATACTGGGAAGAAGTTTAATGATCACTTCTTTTCATCCTCATATCCAGTGCATTACATGGATGTGAAAGTCAGTTCAATCTCAGTTTGTCTAGGATTGTGATTACAGGTTGTTTATTTTTATTAGAGAAACAAACAAAACTGACATATTGGTCTTTGAGGTCTTTTCCAATCGGTTGATTCTACGATTCTATGATATTCTCACACAAATAGATACTAAAAATGTTTACACAACCATCCTGACTCTAGAACTGCCCTAATTAGCTTAGCAGCCACATACGTGTTTATAATAAGTAGGAGGAAGTTTGATATTGAGTTCCTGCCCCCCTGAACTGGGCTTCGCAATGCTGCAAGTGGTTTTCCTGGCAGGTCTCCAGTTCTCAGAGACATTAACTCTAACAGCAGGAAGACAGAGCTCAGAGCCCATCCATTACCTGGGCTGAATGCATATGACTATGCTTATTAAATAAAAGCCTAAGATAGTATCTGTAACCATATTAAGTTCTCTATCTAAAGATATTAAACTTTGCTTAGACATTTACCCAAAGCAAATTTTGATCTACTATAGTACAAACAGGAAGCCTGATGAAATGAGATGGTAGAACACACAAGAAAGATTTAAACCACCAAAACTATTTTCTGCAAATGATACCTTTCAATGATCTATGTTCCAGACAGCTTTTACAGTACATTTTGCAGTTTTCTCTTCCATTTGAGACACCGCTGTGGCAAATAATTGTGGTATCCCAACATTAAAGAGTTTATTTCACTATGGAAATTGCAAGTGTGTCAAGTGCCCTTAAGTAAAGCTAAGAGCTGGAAAAAACGTTCTCTTCTGTTCCCATGCAAACTGGGAAAGTGTTCTGCATTGACAGAGGCCCATTCAAGCCTCCTAGCTTGGCTAAAGCAGAGCACCCATAGCTTTAAGATGCAATACCATTATTGTTAAAGGGCTACTCTGCAAATTTTACTACAGGATACTGTGCATATGAGGAATCTTAAGTTGAAAAGCTGAAGAACAGAAACATAGAATAAGCAGCAGAAAGGAGGAAGTTAGAAAAAACCCAATTAACAGGCATTACTTTGGCAAAAGACCAGCACTACAGACAGAGAAATTGTTAAAGGCTACAGAAAGAGCAATTGATTCTCCACTGCTGCCAGCAGAGTACCAATGAGTCAGACTGGAGCAGTCAAAGGCAGCATTGCTGACATCTGTCTGCATGCCAGCTCTTACTTCCCAAAGTCAGCAAAATAGGGTGTGTGAATGTTTCAACCATTTTGATGCCAAGTCCAGGCTCTGAACTGCAGCCTCTCAGGTCCACTGACTGAAGTGCGGTGAGATGTGCACATGTGTCCCCTTGCACACTTTACTGCAGATGCTGAGAAAGCTGTACCAAACCATTTTGATATAGCAGCAGCATCAACCAATAAATAATACATATTTGTGGGTTAAATGAAGATGTCTAAGTCCTTAGAAATATATGTGCTGGATTGTACATTCATATGGATTTGTAAATGAGTTCTCAGAACTAGCTTCAGTTACAATAACATAAGCCACTTATTCCTGTAACTTTATCAATAATGATAATGAATTGGCAGTTGCATTGTCGAAGAACTTTTTTTCCCAACCAATTTTCAGAGAAAATAAGGAATAAGAGTGGATGAGAAATTTTTTTAAAAAAAAGGAAGAAAAAAAATTAAACTTTTATTACTGTCATTTCTCCGTGGATGGGTTACGATAACCTGTCCTCAATACTGCAAGTCATGGATGGAATCCAGAACTTTAGGCTTCAGCATAACTTTAGAATTACTTCTGATATTTGACAGTGGACCTAAGTCTGCTGTTGGTGTATAGGCAGGCATAGACTTTCCTGAAAAACTTAACACTTCTTAACTACAAGAATGTTCATTACAAGAACATACCTCACAGCCTTAAAGGTGTGGGCCTTGCCAAGCACAACCAGCGCATTCAAGATACTATTTTAATAATGAAAACCCAAAGTATGAGAAAGCAAGCTGTTGTGGGAAAAAAATAAATCATTTAGGTGAAAGAATAATAAACAACAAAGACAAGGATAACACAGTCCTGGAGGGAAGATGCAGATGAAAGAAATCTGAAATTGCTTAGATGCTTTCTAGATGTAAAATAATCATTTTATAGTTTTAGAAGTTCCTGTATCTGAAAAGGTTTTCATTATACATTAACATTCAGCTTTGCTGTTCCAGACAGTTGTTACTCAGTTCAAGTGTTTATTAATGTTGTAGCATTTTAACTTAAAAAAGGCAGAAAGGAAACTAATGAAATTCAATACATTTTGTTATTGACTGATTTGTAAGTAAGCCGATTTGCCTGATACTTCTTGTAAACTTCAAGCTTTAACTTGGTGCCATTGGTCATTTTCAGCTACTACTGTAGCTTTTAGCATTTTCTATTACATAATATACTGTACTGGGAACTTATGAAGGTGTCACTTCCCTCATCCTTTGTAATAAAAAGCTCAAATTAAAAACCAGTGTACATGACAAAATGAATAGTTACATGGAATGACTACGCAAAAGGAATTACTACATATAAAAAAAGAATTTCATTAAATACTTTAACGCACAGAAACACAACAACACTGAGGACTGACCATCAGCAAGAGGTAAAAGTAGTGGTTACTATCACTTGTGCAGTCGAATATGCTGAGATCTGAAAATTCCACTTTCAATTTTAAAGCATTTTCCACATGCTGCAAGTGCAAGATGAAGCACTGCCTAGTAAGCATCTTAAGCAAAACTGACTTGTCAGTTCAAGGGAAGGTTTCACAAGGCTGAGCTACTGAGGATCACTGCTTTAGATCCAGAAGCAAAAATAAGACAAGAAAAGAAACATATGAAAGTGGGAATACAGATATGATCCTGAACCTTTGAAGTCAGTGGAAGGATTTTAACCTCATTTTCTTTAAATTAATTTTAGAAGCAGTAAGATTCAACTCCACGAGAATTATTTCAATGCTTTTTACAGCAAGTCAAACTACCATAGGCCAGAAAACTACTTTAAAATATAACTTTTCATATTTTGATAAAGTATAAAGGGATACTGTGATAGAGAAGAGTGACATAACTTAAGAGGCAGGTGGTATTACTGTTTACATGAAACATATTTGAGAACAAGTATATTAAACTTCCCAAGCCAATCCTAAAACAGAACTACCAGTGTTCTAGAGAAAAGCCATGATTTCAGCAAAACGAGCTTGCGATTCAGACAAGGAATATTAATCCCAGGATATAAATATTTTTTAAATGAGAATCGGCTACATTTTATCATGCAAGAAGACACGAAAAAACGGTGAAAATCAACCCCAAATGTTGCCCATCCTGGAATTTCAGCGAGTGTGGTTACCAAACTGCAGTTCCCAGGCTGTCACCACTAGAGGGCACTGACAGCACAGCCGGAGCCCACTCTGTGCTCCCTGACACCTCCAGGTAACGTACTTGGCAAAGTCCAGGTAAGATATATGGCCATGGTAAAATCCTGGCTTCATTTCCTTCCAGGAAGTCACATTTTTCACAAATCGGACCTGTAAATGTAGAAAACAAAGTGTTTCTGTACTGCTGTTACGTTTTCCCATATATGGTGTTTTCTGGTTTGTAAGTAAAATATTACAATGCATTGGGAAAAAAAAGTCTATTTTGAATATTACCAAAACATTTGTGCCAGGTAAAATAGACTTTTCTGCAGCATACAGATGACTGATTTTAGATCATCACAATTTAATGAACAGAAACTAAATGAAAGCAGAATACAGCAATCAGAAGGGCAATTCAAGGAAAGCTACCAAAAAACATCAGCAAGACAAACATTTATATTTTCATCAGCCCATTGTAAGTTGAAAGGAATGCAGAATTCCTTCAGTAGAAATGCAAGTACATCATTGCTAGCATTGCCTGATCTGTATTCAGTCCCTCAAATAAAAGTGTACCAGATTTACAAGCAGGTTCTTAGACCTATTTTACTGAGACATAAGAAACAAATCTGATGGTTCATTTGCTCCCCCATCCCAAAAATGCAAAGCAGAAGTAATCCAGAAATTTTATAAATGCATGCAGTGTAAATCAGATCTATAGCTTACTATTTTGAGCAGTCACCTTAAGCCTAACGTTTCAGTGACACTTTCATGTTAAAGCATGAAGTAGCCCTTGAACAAGGGCTGATAAAGCAGTTATCGGCAAACTTCACAAAAATAGGAATAGCTTTACATTTCAAAGAACAAAATAAGATACACCCCCAAACCAGAGAGTGTGATCAAATTAAGTGGGACATGCAAATCCTGATATAGCTTGGCTTTATTAGATGAACAGAATATTTTAACATCAAAGCACTTAACTGAAAGTTATTTCAAAACTAGTGAATTGGATAATAAAGAAAGGATGATAAATTTGTACTGCCTGAGCTGTCTGACACTGATATGCCATTTCTGAGGCTGAGAATTAGGAGATAGCATTCCCTGCACATCTGCAATATCTTTTCTGTTTTACAGTGCAATAGATAACTGCAAAGATACCGAGGTGATACAACAGAGTCAAAAAAGGAAAAGTTTGAGAGCTCAAGACAACACACTACCATTCTGTAAGGCCTAATGGATTGAAAGTGTCCTAAAGCATGGTATTTATTATTTATTCTAACCTAACAATTGAGGATTTTAAGAGGCAAGACTGGACTGCTGCTGTTTCTTCAAGTGCGCAAAACTCGCAGTCTAAGGTTTAAGAGGTTGATAGCCTGTACTTATTTCTCCAAACACAGGCTCTTGGACTCTCAGGCAAAAGAAATGTGCATTACTTTTTAATAACAGGCAGCATTGCTTTTTTCAGTGTACAAGTCTCACAGTCTGTGGCATTGCAAAATTTAAACCATATATTGCACATGAAAATTGTAGCAAATCTAGCTGAAAAGCACTGCACGGAGTTATACAATGGTGTTTCATAAACTGCATTGGCTTTCTGTCTGGGTTTGTCCACAGCAAAAACTGAGAATATGGGACTTTGAATCCACTGGAACTACCTTAACTGCTACTGAAACAAATACACTGTACGTTTTGAAGATCAATGACAAGATATTTTCAGTGGAGAGCCTCAGCTATGAATATTTCTTTACCTGGGAAAGAAGTTTCCTAAACACAAAGGATATATCATCCTCCTTTCCTTTACCTCCAAACCCCAAAATGTCATGGCTGGTTGATACAACTCCTCAAGGAAAGCAATTATGCTACCTATGGTGTGCAGTGCAGTGTCCATATTAAAGTGCACATTTCAGTTATGTTCCCATGAAGCTTTCTGAAATCTAACACTAGCTAGATTTCAGTTTCTAATAGACCAGGACTAGACACGAGGAAATGTTAAGTACAAAACCCCAAGGTTTTTGTCTTAGATTCCCATGCCACCATCTGGCATCAAACTTAAGATGTTCCAGTAAGAGTTTAAAAAATCCTTTATTGTCTGTGTCTTACAATGTTGTTGTCTGCTAAGGAAATAATTCCTATGAATACAGGACGGATGGTCTAGCCTCTAACTTTAACACCAGCCAAGCTAAGAGGAAGCAGGGAAGGTTTTATAAGACAGCTGTGACATTTACATGTGCCTAAAGATGGACCAGCAACACGCTGAGCCCCTGAGAACTATAGTTTTTAACACCTATAAGTAGCCTGCAGGCAAGAGATTTTTTCTTCCTCCCACAGTTTGCAGTATTACAAAAATCAGAATTGTTCCAGGTCACAGACAGCCTAATGAGTCTGGATTCACACATTTTAGGGCAGAGGCAAATATTGCTTGCTGCTTCATACTGTTAAATATGATCAATTTTACCTTTCTTTTCAGGGCTTAGCAGACAGTGGAGCTTTCAAGAGACCAAGCAAGCTTCTCCATCTGAACCCATCTGAATAAAATTTGAGGTGACTTTTAAAGTTCAGATAGACGTGAATGGAATTCCTGTGAAGTTGTTCCATGGTGCTTTTATATAATCAGCTACAAAGTTGCTTCCCAGCCTTTAGTAAGTGGGAAATCAGCTGAGCTTCACTGAATTAAAAAGCCAGATCAAACGTACTCTAGGGGCATAAGATGTCCTGAAAGGTAAGTTAAATACATTCAGTTTCTAGGACAATAAGAATTTAAAACAAGTCCCAGTGAGCCAAAAGGGAAAAAAACCCCAACCAGCATACTTGGTCTGACAAAAGCTGTGTTTGCAAACTAAAGTGACAAAAGCTCTCATCTGTCTACTAACTGCAACCATCAGTCCCTCTTCTCTACAGTCCGACCACATGCAACCTTCCCTGTCCCCCATACACACACATTTACCATGCCCAAAATGTGGTATGACATTCGCCTGTGGCCTGGAACCACATGGACTCTTGGATACCAAAAAAGTCCCAGCTTTTCATGTCGTTGTATCCTAGTTTTCTTTGTCAATTACTGAATAACTGACTTAAAATTACAAAGAACTGGGGAGACGAATATCATAAGCCCAGCCTCGTAAGGACACATGAGGATCTTCCATTTGAACTACAAAACTACAAAAAAAGGACTCTCCAGTAAGACTAAAGACTGACACAGTGTTCCCATTAAAAGAAATCTCAGATTCAGATTTCAAGACCAAGCATGATGGGATGACTGAATCAGAATCCCCCTGCAGCAAGGCACTGGTAGCTTAGCTATCCAAATTGTCATATCAGCTCATAATTTACAGTTCGCTCTAAATCAGAGGGTCAGGAATGCTGGAAACAGGCTAGCAGCATACCTTTAGCTGCATATCACAAGCAAGCTCAAGGCAAGGGCAGTTGAGAAGCAATTTTGTGAGATGGTGAAATAGCTGAATTCAGCCAAGGTACAGCAAGGATACCTGCCTTGCATGAACAGGTTGTTCTCAGAAGGAAAAATACAATTGGTACATGTGCAGCACTCGTACTCACTAGGCCATCTAAGTCCAAGAGAAAAATTCTTAAATGTTCAGGAGCACATGACAGTACTTCCACTTCTAACAGAGTTGCTGCAACCTTTTACTTGTTCCACTTCTGACAGCCATTGAAACCTTCACTAGCACCACTAAAGTCAGTATGAGTATGCTGTCCTCTGAGAGGCCACTGTTTTAGAATACACTTGGAAGCAAGATGGTATATTTTCAGGTTGCTCTTTTAAAAAAAATGGAGAGAGAAACTGCAGGAGAAAAAAAAAAAAAAAAGAACAAGAAACAGAAAACAGCAAACTGCAGGAGTGAAACACTGGATAATTGTACCATTCACAACAGTCCAGAGGATGTTCTCATACCCTCTTCTCTAATAATATATCAAGAATACATGCTGCAATGCAGAACAGTCATTTCATTTTAAATGTTTTAGATGACAATTTCACCATGTAACAAAAACAATAAAGCTTGTGTGGCTGGTGTGCCATCCTGTTAGCTGTAACACAGGCTTACTGGTATGGACAGAAAGTATCAGGGCTGAAACATGCAAGCCACAAATAAAATCCATCCAAACAGCTACTCTGATTTAATGCAAGTGTTTCTATTCCAGATCACTCAGGTCAGAAATGCAACAAGGGCAACATGGCATTCAACTTGCCACAGACAAGAGGCCTGACCTGGGGAATGAGGGGCAGTTCCCAGGATCCTGCTGCCAGAGATGCTGCAAAGGAAAGGAGGACTGCTGGGAAAAGTTCCATCTGAAACCAAAATGGGTGTTATGGACTCTTAACGGATTATCTCAAATCAGATACAGATTATGTTTGGAGTGGATTTTAAATAGCATTTTGTTCAGATTGCATTCAAGAAGTAAAGGTTTCACATATGGGCAGAGAACTTAAAATCTGTTACAGAATTACAGTCATTTGAAAAAAGTATTGTAGAAGTAGTGCATAAAGGAGGGCTCACTATTTTACAAATTTCTGCCAGGCCCCAAGGCAATCTTCACCTTGCTTAGGGAGATTTGCTTTAACAAACAGGATCACTAATAGAACTATTTTGTCTCTAAGATATGTTTATGTATTTTACGACCGGTGCATGTACACCCAATGCACTCAAATGAGCTACAGTGATGGAGGTGGTGTGTGAATGTCATGCAAATCCAAGCCCACAAAGAGTAAATCTTGTCAGCTACCACTCAGCACCTGACTTCTAATGGCAAATTACTATCACAATATACTGAAGATGGATAATTATTTGTTCTTTTTTGGACTATGCAATATATGAAGTTCTTCATTGTCAGCATCTTCCAGTTAATGGGCATTGAAAAGAAAAGTATCAACTGTCTAATTAAACTACATAATTTGCCACCTAAGACAAAAGTATAGTATCAAATGAAGGCAGGACTGACAGTACTGTATACATGCCCAGCACTGATGGATTTTCATTTTCAATAGATAGTTATCAGAGGGAAGATGAAGAGGAGTTTCCTCTTCCTCCTTGACAAGGCCAAGCCAGTAAATAACAAATTTTATTTGAATTAAGTTCAAACAAAAGTAGAAATTTAAGGTAAGGTAGCTTATGTTTAATTTATACCATCAGTGACTAGCTTGCCTATCCTTCAGGACAGACCACTACCTTTCAGAAACACCTTAACAGAATGTGTGCTGGGAAGTGCAGCACTAAGTGTGACTGACTTGAGCATGATTTTTCATTAACAGCTATAGGCTGATTAAATCTTTTGAAAAATTGTTCTGTTCTTACTGCATAGGTCTTTAGTACTTGTTCTGTGCAGTGGACAGGACTATAGGGATGACCACAAGGTTTACTCTTAATAATCATGTGTGACACATCACCTTCATACTAAGGAAACGATTTCACAACAGCAAATACTCAACAGTAACACAACCCACTATCACAAAACAGATTTCAGTCCCAGCCAAGCACACCCAGACCATCCGGCACTGAGATCTCTACCTCAATCTCTCTCCCACATACAGAAGTGAAAGTGGAGGGCCATTAGCATCTGCTTCCTCTCGCCCCACTCCAGCAGCTGTGCTGAGCTGCTCCTGCCTGTAGACATGCACTAAAAGGAGCTGGAAGGCTCAGTGCTGACATGCTGCAATGCAGAACAGCTACTGCCTCTGCTGTGTATGAGCTTAAGAAGATCAGCATACAACTGTCAGTACAGACCTGAGAGTTTGAAAACATTTGTTTTGCAGACAGGGAAAATAACATAATGATGTTTCAGATCCCTGACCTGGGTTCCCTCCAAGTGAACTCATGACAACCAAAGAAATAGTAAAAAAAACCCCCAAAAAACCCCCCCCAAAAAAATCTACTTCCCCACCTCAAGAAAAACAGGGCATTGATCCTTCATCATCTTCTTTTAATGTGCATCATCTGATGCAGTGGTAGCTATGATCACTTCTAGCCTGGGACTACACTGATTTTAGTGAGAGCCTTAAGTGGATGCAAAGTGACCCAACCTTTAGAGTGCAAGCTATTTACAACCACTTCTTTCTACCCGTTTTTTATCACCTGTGAGACATGACCAGATCCAGTACTAAAGACACAAACGTGTCTGTGCCTGACAGCATGGCACAGTGCCTGCACTACTCAGAGGAAATCACCTAAGACTGCATTCATTGCAGATGGAGATGACAGGCAAGTACTATTACACAGCCAAAACTGTTATAACAAGAAAGGTCATTTCTGCCCTAGCTGTGTCCCTTTTTAAGCTTTGTTTTTGTCCAATAAGCAGTTACTTACCACCTCTGGTAGCCCAGCAAAAACCCAAACCTATTATTTAAGAAATAATATAAATTCCCTACAAAGAAAGTATGAACACATCAGAATTAATTTATATTGGAAAATGTGACATAAAAGACAATTACATCAGATCATCTAAGTTTGCAACAGCAACATTTTTTCTGTGCTCTCTCCTTGTTACATAAAGACATCCTAAATGCAGCAGCTTACCTGATCTTGCAGAGACATAACAGGATTATTTTTGGTTGTATTGATATGTAGAACATGATATCTGTTCTTCGCACAAAGATCATAGGCAATGTTTGTGAAGGATGTGCTGGCAGTCTTGGGTACTCGGTTGTAAATAATCACCACATCATCTTCTTCATCCAATGTCACATCTTGTCGGGGACCATCTACTGTATGACGTTGTTCTATTTCTCTGACTTCATGTCTTGCAATAGCCCTTTCTGATAGGGATGAAAAATATGAAATTTCAATGTAAATATCACCAGTTCTGAAGTTCAAACCTTAGAACACAAACAATCTGGTGAAAAGCAGTAACTCCTTGGCAATAAAGGAAACACTTGCTGTCATATATATTTCTGACACATCTGAAGCAAAACTTAATCTATAAAAATGTATGAAAGATAAAAGGGGAGTTAGTCCAACACAGAACACAGACAGGAAAACAATATGCTTAGGGAACACATACCATATTCTATGACTCACACTGATGTTACTGGAAGCCATCACCTCTAAAGAAAAATGTCTATAATGCGCTATCAAAATGAAGACATCCCCAAAATACCCCAAATTATTTCTATAATACATTTATAATAGAAGGAATAACTCAAGCAGTTTGAAGAAACAGTAGAAATACTAACAGCAGAGATTTAGTCAATTAACTGTGTAGAGGCACTGGCATTTAGATGAAACCATAGTTTTGTTATTTCAAATGATACAAGCCCCAGAGTAAAGCATTACAATAAACGGGGTTGCAAAAATTCAATTAGATTTATTAATTTCAAGTATGACAAGAATAGAAGCAAGAGATGCTTATAAAACAGCTAACATTAAGGTGAAGAGGGATCTCTGAGTACTGAAATACATCAAATACATCAAAAAGAAAGAAACATGGAAAAGCAAGCTATGGACAAGACATTTTGGCAAGGTGAGTACTTTGCAAATAAACCATCTTTCCTTTTACACAAAGGGCAATACTCTGAGTAATTGAACACTGCTTCAAGTGCTAAAAGCTTGTTTGGAAAATAAAACTCACAGTATAAGAGATTTTTTTTTTATGCTACTGAATATCAAATACCCTGTGCTGACTCAGACACAGCTTTGTTCTGTTCTAGATAAGTATATACTTTAATACAACTTGTAATACAGATGTCAAAGTGCCTTTTCTCATTCATTTAAGGTGATACTGCCTTTAATAATGTATTCAAAGAAATCTGCATTTGTCAACAGTGCAAGCTGAAGTCAACACCACAAGAGTAACCTGCAATTCTCTGTATTATGTTCTTACACAGGGTATAGGTCTTTCTAGATGACATGCTTTTAACAGCAGCAGAAGCCTTTACTTCCCTTGCTTCCTTAACACGGCTCCCTCTATTCTCTTTCACCACATCTCTTTAATTATAACATAAAATCACTTTTAAAGCAGAATCATTAAGCTGTGAACACCACTAGCCTGTAATTCCACATAAATTGTCTTCAGCCACAAACTTCCATCTGTCTGAAATGCTTCGAAGCTTAAACTCACTCACTCTCTCATATGCTCGTATCTCACACCCCATAACTAAGTTACATCAGTATGAAAATGTTTGTAGAAAATGCTTATTGAGTATATCTCAATTTTCCACATGACATCTGTTGCTCCCCACTACATCAGTCACAGTTTTTGCTCCTTCCTTTCTCATTTGCTACCTCTCCCATCACTGCTGGCAAACGTCCTATTTTGGAAAGAGATGAGGCAACAGACTTAGGTTTCGTCTATCTGAAGATGGCTCCAATGAAATGGGGCTGGCAACTCTCCCCATCCTGCCAGTAACAGACTAGAAGCAGCATTTGGTAGGGGACAGTTAACCATGTGGCTGCTCAAGGCTACATGGATACGGAGTACGACCTAGAGAGGCTGAAATGAAACAAATGTAATTGGTATTTTCTACATCAGAGTAGTAGATCTAAGCTAGCTTTGCATTGTAGCTGCACAGAACCCCAGGGCTGATGAGGCTGCCTGGCGCACAGGGAAGCTTCCCCTTTCAGATGGAAGAAGGAAACATTTGTGAGAAACAGACATGATTTGCAAGAGGATTGATGAGAAGTGTTCCCCTAATGAGGTATTTTAAACCACGATGATTCAAGAATTAGTGTGATAAGTGCACTTTAAAGACCATGCATCAGATATAAAAGCTGTATGATTGGATGCAATTAGCAGAAAGGCTATTGCATCCAATCATTTTCAGCTTGCCATGGTGAGGGGGGAAAGCAAGAAAAACTTGCACAAGTGTGAAGCACACAGACAGTTCTATTCTAAAAGGAGGGTTTAAATTTCAAATGAAATGAACACTAATCTTTATGATGAAGCACTGAAATCACCTTCTTTAAAAGAACTACAATAGTTAGAAAATAAAAGCTGAGACAAGGTGAAGGATATGAATGCTGAAGTGGAAAGCTAAAGCTAGTAAGAAGCACTGGAAGTGCCTCAAATTGTCTAACCTGGTCAGGCATTCTAATGGCCTATTTCATTTCACTCTATGAACAACACAGTAACAAAAATTTTAAGTGCTGTAAAAGTGCACATTTTTTCCCAGTCCCAAAGAGTTTACTGTTTTTCCTGTGAAGTCAGGAAGCTCTTTTGGTATTTTCTGAAAAGTCAGTTTAACTTTTAAAATTACATGAATATAGATTTTACTTATTCCTTTATTTTTTTTATTTAACTAATTATTTGGGGAGGGCAAAGAGGGCCAGTAATGGTACCATGTAACTGAGAATAGCCTGTGGGATAACTAGTTAATCAGCAGTTAGAGAATTTGAGGAGCATTTGATTAAGTACTTCATTTGCTCTTCTATAACATTTAAATAATCATAGTAGTAAAAGTCCTGTAATGGTTGAAAAATGAACATTGCTTATATGTTTTTAGAAGTATGGTAGAAAATGCAATGTATGCTTTAATGACTTTTTACATGTGGAAGATAAGGAGAAAGAAGATGCTAAGTATTTATTAAGCATATTTTGTCTATCAAAAATCTCCTCAGATGACAGTCCTGCAAATTTAATTTTGATTATGGGCACCTGTCTATATAAGCTGCACTTGTTTCACTGAGATCAATCTTTTTTAAAAAACAGGATAGGTGATTTCTTTCCTATCAGAGAACCTGTGAGCAAAATGTCCTACAGTGTCATTGCTTTCACTGCATTCTATTTAAACACCATTTGGTAAGATAAAGAGCGACACAAAACTATTAAAAACCAAATGGTTAAACAACCATCCACACTAAATTTGACACTATATAACCACATCAATTTAAAAAGATAAGCAGCATTTAAGCAAGTGATACTTTGAATACAAGACAGACTTTGATAATAATATAATGTAGGATAATTTTAAGGCATAAAATATTCTGTCTCACTTTTTTATTACTGTTTGTTTAGGATTACTGGAATAAACAATACAATTACTCTACAATTGGGAAATAGGCACATAGGCAGCACCACATATGATCAGTGTAATAACAACTGCTGCACTGATTGTTTACCAGCAGATGAATTACTTGCAGAAAGTCTTTAGTTGGCTGAAGTAGCTGTTCTGTAAACAGCACAACAGGTTTGTTTCCTCACCTATTTGTCTACACGTACTTCTAAATCCCCCTTCATCCCATTTCTAGAACCGTCAGCGTCTTCCTATGACTTAGATTTCTTGAGTCATCCTCTTGCAGCAATAAACCAGAAAATATCATGGCTAGCAACAAATTTGTTTGACAGTCAGATGCTACCAGAAAATAACATAATGGGCAAGTTATGTCTTCTCCTTCAGCAGAAGACACATAGCAACATCTGTATGCCACCACTTTGAGATTGCTGTCCTTTCAATCAAGTCAAAGCAGTTTCTCGAACTCAAAAGTTATTAAACAACAGACACTTGGAGAGAAACAGACAGGCCAAGTTTGATTGCTTAGCCCTATTCTGTTAGGATCTCTCCACTAACAAAATCACCTGTGAAAATGCACCAGACCCACATATGCTTATAAAAATATTTGAAAACACAGCTGAACAATATTTACATACTTACAGAAACAAATCACCCAACTGAACAATATTTAAATAATTATAGAACCAATGACTGTGATCAAAGCAGTTATTAGTCTACATTCCTTGCACATTCAAACAGATGAATGTCTTAGGTAAAACAAGCTTATTAGCATTTACTTCAAATCCAAGTGTTAACTGCATACAAAATATATTCTTCTCAAAGAAAATAGTGTCAGGGATTTTAATGACTTGAAGATTAACGAAACCAAACACTTCAAATTTCTCACACTTTTCACCGAAGCATAAGAACCTCCTGGGATTTCTTAACAAAGAAATCTATCAAAATCAGAAACTCTTCTTTACCCTATAACTTAGCACTTACCACTCTTGAAGGATAGATTTTGAGCCTTGCTGACTGTCAAAGTCAAGTTCACTGAGTAACTGGAAGAATAATTCAGAGCATATTGCTCTACTTCCCCAAACTGTGCTCTTTGTTCTCTCCATCTACTTTCCTTCTGTATGTATCTATGGACATTATTTAGGCTCTCTCTTCAATGCGTCTTCTGTGCCTGCCACGTTTCCTTGTGAAACCTCCCACTCAGCTAAGGAAAGACTCAGTCTTAAAATGAATTTCAGCTCGGCAGCCTTCAAGTGCTGCCCAACAGAAGAAAAAGATGTGGATTCAAACTTCACTCACTGACTTGATGTGAAGGAACTGGACAGCCAGTGTTGATGGCACCATGTACAGTTGCTGTAATATCTGTGATACTGGACACCACTTTAAACCAATAAGCAGGTTTCTTCCAGTTGGGAACAACAGTGAAGCCAGGCGACTTGGTGTCTCAGCTTTCTTCCCACTGTGCTCCCAGGCCAATTAACAAGCAGCTGGTAGCCTGAGGCTCTGAGCAGCTCTCAAGCTGTTTCCCTGCCCAAAAGCTGCATTAAACACATGATTGGCCTAAATACTGAACACAAGCAGGACCTACTCACTACTGACTCCTTTCTCCTCTGCTGAAGAATGAAAACTAAACAGCAGCTTAAAACCGAACCATAATTATGTAGCAAAGTTAATGTTCTGAATCATTTTCAAAAGATATACACCCACCCCATACACACAGCTTCATCTGTCACTGAAATGAGGCCTCCTCTGGGAGCTGTTTAGCAGCATATGACTTACAAACCAGAGTGCTGCTGTATGTGGATATCAAT